AGCACCAGGTCACCAGCAGCAGCAGCAGAACTAGCAAGACACCGACACGCAAACACAGCAGCAGCAAAGACATGAGCAGCAGCAGCACAACCTGCAGCAGCAGCAGCAACAGCAGCAGCAGCAGCAGGAAGTCCAACAGCAGCAGCAACCGGAGGACTCATCTCATCAGGATAATCAATGCCAAGTCCAGCAGCACGAACAGCAACAGCAGCAGCAGCAGCAGCAGCAACAGCAGCAGCAGCAGCAGCAGCAGCAAGCGCCCTTGAAGCGGAGAGCAGCAACCTATTTGCATGCAGGCAGCAAACCCCCCAAAGCCCCAATCGACCCAGCCTGCTTCTACGGAACTGGCTGCAGCAGCAGCAGCAGCAGGAGCAGCAGCAGCAGCAGCAGCAGCAGCAACAGCAGCAGCAGCAGCAGCAAATCCTTATCTGCTAATCATGAAAACAACAGATGGAAGGAAGCTGCTCAAGCAGCCTCCCCAGCAGCACCGACAGCAGCAGCAGCAGCAGCAGATGCTGCTGCTGCTGCTGCATCCCCCCTAGGGGCTGCAGCAGCATCCAGCGGCGGCAGCAGCAACAGCAGCAGCAGCAGCAGCAGCGTGTTGAGCGAGGTTCCTGCGCTAGAACGCCTTCGTATATGGCAGCGAATTGAAGCGTTGCTGCATGATGAGCAGCAGCAGCAGCAGCAGCAGCAGCAACAGCAGCAGCAGCAGCAGCAGCAGCAGCGTCGGCGTGCTCCTTTTATGTTGCCATTGTTTGTATTCGATAAACAAGCTGAAGCAACGAGGTTTGCTGCTGTGCTGCGGCAGCTGCTGCCTGCTGCTGCTGTTGCTGTTTGGGCGGAGGAGACAGCAGCAACAGGACAGAGGAGGTTCTGCTGCGGCTCATTGAGAGCCCTTCTTGCTGCTGCTGCTGCTGCTGCTAGAAAGGCACAGAGGTTAAGAATGCTAAAGCAAACAAACACGACTGCTGCTGCTGCTCCTGCTGCTGCTGCTCCTGCTGCTGCTGCTCCTGCTGCTGCTGCTC